AATTAAGTTTGACTGGTACCATATTTCTGACTTAACGGTGTTTTGAACTGAACTTGCACTTACACTTTACACCAGCGTGTTTGTGTTGTTATTTTGTTTTGTTTTTTGTTTTTTTGGCGACAGTTAGAACACTAAATATCCCTTCTTCTATTGTTTATGGTATATGTACTAGACATAGTGCATGATCATCATGTCTGAGAGTATACGACAGGGATGTACCAGTGTCTGTATCATCCTTCAACGTACAAAACTCATCCTTCTCATTGGTATCCTGGGCAACCAGAGGTCACGGTTACAAGTCAAGAAGTGAGCGTCAGGGAGTATCATATTCCCGGTCATATTACAATATCCCTAGTAGATGCCAGAACACATTCCGAGGGTGCGTGGGTCTAATTTTAGCCAAAGTGAGTAATATATCAACTTTGTGAATGTTTTGTTTTTGTTTTCTTCAAGTTGAGTAGTTCCACTCCCCATCCGAGTTTCGTCATATGATGGTAATATGGCGAACCCGATACTTACTAAATCAACTGAAGCTGTGCCTCTTCCAAAAATTACCAGACGAAAGAAAAAGTCTATTATAGTTTTGCTATTGACCAAAGAAGTAAAATGCCCGATATATCTTATCAAGTTAACGAAACGATCGATAGATTGATTTCAATAGCAATAAATTCCACACACTACTCAATTTTGTTATTGTTAACTTCGAATTTTTATTTTACAGATTCGATGTTATACCCGTGGACTACTCTAGTTTTTATTACTTTTAAGTTATTACCAAAATATGAAATCTCATCTATTTACATAGACCACAAAGTTGTCTATGTCTATGTTTTTTTATGAAATGACGCTACACTCCCATGTCCGGTTTATCGATCAATGTACGAACCAAATATGTACTCTAATAAATTCCTCGGACGCGAGTCACCATTGTATCGATAAAATCGTCTAAACATATACAGTGCGTGTGAGGTTTAACTTTCTATAACAGAATTTATCAACTGTTCAAACTTACTCATTTTCTTCTGTAACAATCGCAAAGATTCCCCGATTGGGGTCTACCACTGGAAGGAAAAGCGCTATTTCCATGATAATGAGGGCAACTCCAGCGTACATTCCATGCGTAGTATTCCATATATGGAGCGGTGACGTAGCCGGTATTTAAATCATGTTTCAGGCTCCTTGTTTACAAGTTTAAGTCATTTTTATTTACTTGTTTATTGAATATAGCGGGAAATACGATTCAATGCGACATGCGTCAACACCGACAACGCTGACAATGCATTATTCCGTGCTTTATAACGAAATACGTAATGTTTTTATTTGTCACCGAAGATATATCACTCCTGTGAACGCGATTGATGTCTGGAGTGCGATGTTTGTCTTCTTGAAGCGGTCTTAAACTTCAGTGTAATCGTGATTGCTGCGATATCATTGGGACAGTTTTTCCACAGATACCATAACTGTCCCACTGATTACCACAACGGTATGTTTGTTTATAAGATTAGATCAAAATTACATAGAGCGAAATAAACTTTTCGTTGGTCGCCCATAATCGCTGATGCTGTGTCATATGGCACTTGTGTCTGGTACATAAAAAAAAACCTGTTTCTATAGTATATTTTGGTTGGGGTTTTAATGAGTATTGTTTGCCTCATATACATTAGCAGAACTGTTAAAAACACGCTGTGAATTCCAAATTCATCTCTCACATTTTACAACCAGCATACATACCCCAAATAAAGAAAAAGAATTTCAAGAATGCCTGGCGGAGAAAACGAAAGCAATGTAAAACGTTGCCGTAAGAGGGCGAACGTTTTGTTGGTTGGTACGGTGGCGTGTTTTCAGTGCAGGGTAGCAGGTCAAGTGAAGTGTCACTGTAATCAGCGAAAGAATGACAGAATCCTGGGAATTAAACTGTATACGACCTATGTACAGTATTTCACTATCCCCTTTCAAATTATTTTAAAATTACGTCCTGTTTCGTTACTCACATTACATCATGTTAATATGTTGTATGTATTCGGAACAATACCGTATTTTGGGATTATGATCTGAATGTGGAAAACAACATTCACTATCTCAATTGTACTTACAGTCGACGCCGTTTTTTCTGCATCATCCAATTTAAGTTCGGCTTGTGAAAGTTTGTCTTGCGTTGTGTCTAATTCCAATTCTAGATTTCTCATCTTCTTCATTAATTCTTTGTTTTCTTCATCCCCCTGTAGGTGAAAAGTATGCGATGGAAACGTTATATTGTGTGATAAATATATAACTACTTACTTATGAAGAAATGTTTTCATAATTATAAGCATTCGTTTGAGCGAAAACGCGTTGCGATGGGCATTAATAATCAGAGTGCATTTCATAGCCTACGTACCAGTCTATATTTTAATCGGCCAGTACTGGGTGAACTTTGGAGGTGTCACGTCGGTGTAAAAGCACTTCCTTTGTTCCAATAGCATGGTGCACGCAGCACAGTAAATATTAATATTAAAATGATTGATCAACGCAGTCTTTTCATTGTTCAGTCATAGAAACATGCGGTCTCAGTTTAGAGAGAAAGTGCCGGTTTCGAGAGAGAGTGTTTTCCGAAAGTTAAGTTTAAAAGAAATTTCGTCACACAACTCCCAGTAGAAATGACATTAATATTGCAAATCCAAATCATAAACTCGCTTAGTTAGGATACGATCAACAACGATCGTCTTCACCGCGTACCTATACCGCGCATTACAAATAACTTCGTGCCATCGTAAGTTACACCCACTCGTGCTCAACTTTTGAATTTACAAATTGAGAAAAAAAACAAAAACATATCTGCTCTTAAAAAAGGTAGTATATTATTATATTGACAGTTTCTTGAATATATACGGGGGTATGTTGAAGTGCTATATTAGCTGGTGCCAGCTGTCCCGAAAGAAAGGAATCCTAACGTCGCCATATTGGATTCGCAACAAGGCAAAGTATGTTAAGAATTATAACGCTCATTAACATAAAGTCCTTTCTTGGAGAGAAATCTTTAAACTGTAATTGTAGTAAATCGGATAATCTTCAGATATCTTTACTTTTTTCTTGCTTAACAGCATTTCCGTTGTAATTCAGGACTAACTGACCTGGGTCATTATCGTTCTGCCACGACTTGTAAAAAACATTATTTTACTTGTAAGTCTAACGTTTAAATTAAAAACAAAAAAATGGCTTATTTTGTTCTTAAAAATTATGACAATATTTCAATGCCATTTCTAACATAAGAAGGAATAATTGTTCTATTACTCTCAAGTAATTGGACGAACTCATATTCCGGTAGCTTTTTTATTATCATGGCTGCAACAAACGGTGTAAAATTTGAGAAATATTAACTCTATTCTCCCTGTAATTTGTTTATTTATATTAGTTCTAATGATCAGAAAGATGGTGCAGGGTGATGATGAGAAAGTAATATAGTATATTGCAAGGACAAAATAGTAAATATGTTTGGAATTTGAGTCTAGGAATTTTTTTAACTTACTTTTTCTGCTCTCTCGATGGCATTTCTCATCTCCTGCTCTGCCTGATCGCGGAGATCCAAGGCAGCTTCCTTCTCCATCCTCAAGCTCTGCATCTTCTTCTTGACAACTTCCATGGTTAATATGTATTTGGGTGCGAAGGCTCCACAGAAAAATATTCAAAGAAATTTGTAAAGATGGCGATGAGACGAGACGTTCTCTCCGAGCTTGGAATGTGGGAATGAAGATAGAGGAGCAAGAAAACGGCGTACACTTCAACTGGTTGCCTGGCTGGAAGTGGGAGTTGACGAAGAGCTAAGATAAACAGTTTGATGAGCTGCTCGGGCTTGGTTCACGTGACTCCAACCAGTGACCAATCACTTGTCGGTATGTAGTGTAACTTATCTTCGCGGTGTCCTGACGTCACATCAGTACACAGTCTGGCTTTTAATCCCGCTGGCCTTATTTGGCAAATGCTGGTAAAACTATACTTAATACGAACTATGATGTAATGTACGAAGTGGATATTTATTTAAACAAAAAAAGCGTCAAAGATGAGGAAAGCAGATACCGGACAAAAGTCAGCAGTCATGACCAACCGAAGGCAGCCAAGTGTAAAGCAATTTGCGTTCTTTTAACCCTTTTCATTCATCGAATAATAATAGAAATGGCATGACATATGATATATGCTTGCAACCCTTTGCGTGCCTCTTCATTGCCCAGATCTGACTGTCATCAATGTTTCGTGAACCACACCTTCAATGTGTTAAACATATTATCCATGAAGCCGTCATGATAGTTGTACACTGATCTCTGCTGACTCTATCATACTGTTACAATGATTAACTGTGTTTTGTTAATTTTTCTTTTTCTCATACGTAATTTTTTTGTAATATTTAACGTCACTTGTAAAAGATTGGTAGGTCGCCGACGATGTCAATTGCCAACTCGGTGGCTTGCATTCCCGGGTCGACATGTCTTTCGTTTAAACAGCTGGAAGGGAATATGCGATTTTTTTTATTTCTACATAAGACATGGTCTACTACAAACTTCTCGTAATATTCCTTTTTTCAGCATCTAGAGAATACATAGTAGATCTGAGTCGGTCAGTCTAAAGTTGTACTTTCTGCATCATGTAGCGCACGACATGCCGTCCCACTAGCACTCACTACAGCGATATTTAATGCCGACTACAAATACAAGTATTCAACACATTTTGTGTTTTGAAGCAATCATGGATATGTGTCGGACAACAATGACCAGTCTGTCATTGCTTGATCGGTAATAGAGGGTCTTTGAATCGGGAAAATAATATGTGTTCCGGCTGTACTATGGTGAGTCGAATGACTTCGGAATTCTTTCTTATTCTGTTTCTAATTCTCGAGTTCCACATTCTGATTCCCATACCCAGACGTCGCATGCGTTTACTGTTTTCATTTGCGTAGTTCGTACTGTTTATTTACTTCCCTGGATCTCAGTTTATGTTCTGCCATTTCTACCACACATTGACGGAAAAAAAGACTATTTATCATCGTATTAATTAAACGACACTGTCATTCATAGCAAGTCTGTTCGAAAAGTTCGTGACCTATGTAAGAAACACGCAGTATCACGTGACATATTCGTTATCCAATAGTCGAGCGTTCATCAATGATTGGTGTCAGTAGTTGCAATTCATATCTCACATCGATGTTCAAATAAACTCAACGTGGCAGGTATGCGTAGCACAGCCTTGAAAATAACATCTTTATTTCGTAATGACAATTACCCTGTCTGGAGGACCATCGAACAGCCGTTGTGATTGTTTATTTTAACAACTCCGGGGCGCCCTCCCATCCCGGACTCCGGCTGTTGAGTTTCTTGAATTACACGAAACAATGGCATTTTGCCCAAATACGAAAAAACAAAACAGTTTTACTATCAGTATAAAATAGAACAGGGACCACTAAGTGCGGGCTCAATGTAAACAGGGGAGTATTTAACGCAGACCGCGATGATCATCCATTTCAATACACCGACGATTAGCATTTGAGCAACTGTGGTATCAGCTGTTTCATATTGCTTTAACTGCGGTAATATTCTGCGATATTCGATCCGCAACAATCAGTATGTTTAGATCCCGTCGTTATAATTAGACCTGGGTCGAAAGATCATGTCAACAGTACAAAGGACGCAACTAAAAATCTGGAAAAGCATATATATAAGTTCGGGATATCGTGTGTGATCATTATCGACGGATACTAAAAACGATAACACGTGCTGAAATATACATTATCTCCGATATTAGCCGCTAAACACTCCTACTAGTCCTGAGTTATACAATCATACATGTTAATCGTAATAATAATAATAATAATTTTTATAATTATTACTTTTATTACGTGACGTTTTTAGGCAATGTGTAATTACTGATTATATCTGTACTTTCATAATAAAGGTATCGAATGTAGTGTGTGTCATACGAGTGACTGAAATCAGTGTTCGGGTTTCAGTGACATTTACGAGTATTTCAAGTGCTGGGGCCCGGTACGAATTACAAGTATGTAACAAACTGAATGTCAGACAGCTTGGTTAAAGTGACAAGAAAGCAATATTTAACATATTGAAAGTAAATGTTAAAAATATAAAAAAAAAATTAAAAATATGCTATAACATTCACTACTTGCATGACGTCGTTTCGTTATGCTGTGTTATAATGAATAATCTTAGATGAACTCAGATTACATTATTTTTCTTATAAACAAACGCGTTGTCACGTAGACGGCTTTCAAAAGTGGGTTATGTCGTCTAATCAGCAGAGATGCTTGTCATATAGAAACAGTTTCAAATGCTTGTCATTCTCGCCTTGGCTACTATGTATACAGAACATTTCAAGAACCTCCTGTCACTAGATACATGTTGACAAAATGGTATGCATAGTACCCAACTGAGCACTCCACATTTTAAAGTAAGGCAAACCATAGACCCTCCAGTAGTTCTACTGTAAGGTCCATGGTCAAACTGAAGGAAATTGGAAGCAAAGAAATGACCATTTAGCTATTTAATGATTTGCCATGGCAGCACGATTTTAAATCATGATTCAGATTCACGTTAACAATTTCAAAAATACGCTGTTCATCAATTACTCTCAGCGCAACTAAGGCATTCCCTTCATCTTTATAAACATCCTTAAATTCCAATACCAGTGTAATGCAACCAGTCAATCAACGAACACGGTGCGCAAAATCGTTGTAAACATTCAGCCAGTTATTTAGTCAGCCAATAGAAACATTTCTTTTCAATATTTATAAAGATAAGGAGAATACATTTGTTGATTTGAGACACTGGCAATCAAATGGAAGTTTGAATGAAATCATTCAGGCAGCATGTTACTTATAAATAGTGTACTGCGGTACAGATTTTTCCTCGCCAGACTAAATCGTGGTATATATTTGAAAAAAAACCTCTTCTTTTGACGTTGCTTTTATTTCTATGTTACATTGATATTTATGTCACTCTTTGTGTCGAGTTAAAATTACGCATATTCTTGGTATTTACAATCTTTTTTTTCAATTACATTTCTTGGATGTGACCCCAAGCTCAGAAATAAAGTAAATACATTTTATCTAGCAATTGACAATGAAGCTATATTAGCAAGAGTTGATAACTTGCAAATATTATCATCATAAATTGTTAATTCAGCCTGAGTAATCTGAGTAAAATACGAAATTCATCACCAATAGCATGTCCATTACATAGGAAAGATATATAAGGCAGGTATAAAAACTGTTCATGGCATTTGGTTAATATTTTGTTTAAAATTGGGTTATAAAAAGGGTGATTGACATGTATATACAGAAGTATGTATCGTATTTGAAAGAACTCTAAGACAGTTAGTCCAGATATTAAAAAGATTATTTATTTGTTTTTAAACTTACTGAGAAATGTATTCCTTAACTGCAAATAATTTATTTATGTTTCATCTATGTAAAGTAGTATTACCGCCAACTAGTAATGTCATTCACAACGCATCTCTGTCTTGAAACGTGTTTTTGGTTGAGTGAAAAACTTAAAACGAACTTGTTTGTTTGAAACTGATGAACTATGGGAAAAGCATAAAAACAAAGAGTAAGGTACTTAATAACTGTAGAGGGCGATACGCCAATCTAAACGCGTTATATTTCAAGTTCGTGCGGACAGATCCAGTCAGCATTCAGTTTGGCAAGGGGTTTGTCACTTTGATGATTAAGGTGCACTCGCTCAGAACTCGGAACATTTTTTTCCGTTTTTCTGTGCTGAATTAAATGCCAGGTTGTCAATTTATTGTCGAGTCTGCTGACCCCACTTGATTTGCATAACAATTCTTTTATTTATCGACCGTTAAACACAAGTCTAAACAACCAACATGGCGGCGCTCACGTCCTGATTTGGTGGTAATGTCCCAGGTAAGTTTTTGTTGTTCTCTTCTTGCTTATACACTTTTAACTGACGAACTCATATCAAAATATGTGTAGTGAACTCAACACTTCTATCTTGTGCGCCTTATACCTGTAAGGCTTGTACAAACCTGAAACAATACCATTGTTTTCCAGTGTTAATGCACTCAGAATTGTGTGCGAATCGTGTATCGGTTACAGAAACAGCAAGTCGGGACAGGTTTTTTGTTATAGCATTCCAAAATACGATAGATTCGACATCGCTTTTGGTGGCAGAACGCAATTAGGTATAATTCAGCTGGACTATATTAGAATATTTTGTTTTCAAAGCTAGGAATTGAAGTTTTGTTCATGATATTGCTTCGTACTGACATTTCAAGTTTGTTGTGGCGGTTCATTTGAAATTTCGTCGTGCTGCGAAGGTGTTCATTCTGGACTGGTGGGAGTTGACGTTTAAATCGAACTGACGATCATACATGTAAGTAGGACCAGATGTCTAACTAAAAAAAAAAACGTCTGTGCAAAGAATTTAAACAAAATTGTATCTGACAGAGGTTGTAACAACACGTCTTTAAGTTTCCGGTATTGGTCGTTTGGGGCTCAAAAACTCAAATAACGGGTTTATGTTGTATATGACCCCCTTTCAGTTTCAGAATAAGGTTCACCACATATTTTTTTTAAGTGGCGTTCTTTTCTTTAAATAGAGGATATGATTCCTATTCCGAAATTAGGTAGGACTTGATGTACTTCACTCGCAATTTGTTTTTGAAAAATGAAACAGGGATCATGTTGACCAGTAAAACCATAGTTTCACAGCTCTCTGTTCCTATTTTGACAATAGAGATATTATGTGAATCCATACATCGGATTCAACTGTGAGTACATTTAAATGAATTGCCAGTGATAACTGGATGGAAAAACAAAAACGATTTCACCAGTTAGCCACCAATGCTTAGACTTCAGTGCTTTCAGAAAAAGGTTGTTCCATATTTTATAAATAGTTATAAAAAAATTTATTGAATTTTTATTCAAATGCAATTGGGATAACTGGATTGGCAATAATAATTTGAATGGTGTTCCAAGATGTGCCGCAAAGCCAATCCGTTACCTGTACTATACGTATCCCTTATCTGGTGAAGTCAATGTAAAAGTACATGGGGCAGGCAGGATAAGGGATACACTGTCTATTTCTTTGACTCTCGGTCTACACACATAAAGTGGGTTATCACTTTCAGGGACGCGTGTTCGCCCGCAGTGATTGTTCTGATTGGTCAACGGCAGTTTCAAATTTATGAATATTTCATGTTTCTGGCATACACCGGGTTTCATGAAGGTGTGAATTTATCTTACAAAAAGTATTTATAAATTTCAAATGCTGATTAAAAACAACTTGACCAATCACAAGCCTTAGCATATGATTATTTAACATAGTTAATC